AACTGGTGAGAGGCTGGGGGGCAGGGATGGAGAAAATCCCTCTTAATGCATGGCACCTACAGAGCTGTCTCTAAGGAAGGCCCCTCGTTAGCCCTTCCTGCACTGCCCCCATCCCCAGAGGGGATTATAAGGTCCTGTGGCCGACTTACGAAATCTTCTCTAATCCAGCTTTGCAGGATTTATCTTATTAACCGTATCTCCCATCCCTGTCCTGGTTGGAGCATCCCCGCGGCTTTCCTCTTGTGTGCCCAAATCAGAAAGTGCGGGGAGGGGGACGTGCAGTGGCCCCCTCCAGTCTCCTGCGCTGCCAAACAAGCTCAGTGCGGCTGGGTCCACAGCAAAATGAAAGGCTTTGCTAAAAATGTGCAGTTCCCCTGCCCTCGGGTCAGATTTAGGATGTGGGGGAGTCGTATTTTATTGGACCAACTTCTGGTGGTGAGAGAGAGCCACGCTGTCAAGGGTACCCAGCATTCGGCCTTGGCCCACAACAAACGTGAACAACACTGGGTGGTTGTACTCATGCGCATTCAGCTCGGTTTGGGAGTGCATCAGCATGGCGCGGTGAGTGTGTAATGCGGGTGATGTTAAACGTGCGCCAAGCATGCAGGCTCAACCCAGAGTTCCCGGTCAGACCAAACTCAAAAAATCTAATTCAATCAACTGTCAAAAAATAGGAATGCAAAAAAAAAAAAATACAGACTATATAGAACAGTATAACGACAGCAATATATATATATATAGAGAGAGAGAGAGAGAGCGGGTGGTAGCACTAGTTATAAGTTAGGATGATGTAACATATCGATGATAATTCTTCCCCTCCTCCCCCCACACACATTTTTACACTTGCTCATATGGTCTCTTAGAAGTTTCTTGGAACTGACATTTCCCCTACTGGCTTTCCACCTCTGCCTTTTTTGGCAGCAATGCGAGGAAGTGTATCATTTCTGCATGCAATGGGTGGAGATGTAAAAACGTAAAAATCGTGTTCCAAAGGATTTTCAATTCGGGTGCTTGGTGCATTATTCTGTGCATACCACAATTCAGAAATCAAGGTATATATTAAATGCATTATCATGTGTGCTCTCTCTCTTTATTTCTCTCTCTATATATAGATATATATACTATCTGGAGTTGCCTGGTGTTGCTCGGGAAACCGGAGGAACAAAATGTAAAAAACAGTAGTCCATTATCTTTTTTTGAATGGTAGAAAAGTTGCACTGATTTCTATAGGGATTAAAATATAGGTCCACGTTATCCCCAGGAGGGGGGGGGTGCAACCCAGGTGGAGGGGAGGTTACACGTGGGAAGGGTGCCCCAGCTCACGCCCAGGGCTGCAGGTGCCACGGGAGGGACAGGGCAGATGCCCGAGCCGTTGTGTGCATGGGGGTTGGGGCACTGCGTGCTGGCGGGGAGAGTGGGGAGAAGAGGGTCGCTTATGTAACCTAAGTGCTGGGAATGGGACTGTTTTCCGAAACGGGGTCGCTTATGTAACCTCGCAGGCAGGAGGGGACGAGTCCCAGATGATGCTGGGGGCCGCAGGGGACGGGCATGGGACCTAGGGTCAGGGGGCCCCTGCAGCACAGTGTGGTGGGTTACTTTTTTATTTTTACAGCCTGAGCTTGGGCCCCATCAGGTCCAAAAGTATCTTAAAACCTTCTCCTGGATGAAAGGTTGTCCCATGCAAAGTTTGGTTGCGGTAGCTCTTATAGCGTCCAAGTTATTAGCGCACAAACTTACAAACATTCTCCTTTATATATTAGATTAGCGATTTGTGCCTCTGTTTGTGAGTCTGTGTGGCTGCATGTGAGTCCATGGGTTCAAGAACTTCTCCTAAATGGGAAGAGCGAGGACCACCAAATTCGGTATGCAGCTTCCTCTCCTCCTAATTAGCAAGGTCAGGGCTTGGTTGTGTCAAGAAAATGGGAAGTGCTGGGAATGGGACTGTTTTCCGAAACGTGGAAAGGGAGGGGCACAGAGAGGAGGGACGCGATACTGAGAGTGGCCACTGGGGGGCAGCGAGCACACAGGGGAGAGCGATACTGCCGAGAGCCCACCAAGAGCGCACCTGGCAGGGCTGGGGCTCTAGCATCCTGCCTGCTACCAGACCGGGTAAGTAGCCCCACTTCCACACACGCTTCTGCCCTTGGCCGCAGTGCCGGACAGGGGGGAGGAGAGAGAGGAGGGACGCGATACTGAGAGTGGCCACTGGGGGGCAGCGAGCACACAGGGGAGAGCGATACTGCCGAGAGCCCACCAAGAGCGCACCTGGCAGGGCTGGGGCTCTAGCATCCTGCCTGCTACCAGACCGGGTAAGTAGCCCCACTTCCACACACGCTTCTGCCCTTGGCCGCAGTGCCGGACAGGGGGGAGGAGGAAGGGAATAGGCCCCTGGTGGCTGGGGGGGCCTGGGTGGAGCTAGAAGGCCCC